TAGTAAGTAGTAAGTAGTAAGTAGTAAGTAGTAAGTAGTACGTAGTACGTAGTAGTGAGTAGTAAGTAGGAAGTAGGAAGTAGGAAGTAGGAAGTAGTAAGTAGTAGTACGTAGCTAGTGGTCGTAGTAAGTAGTAAGTAGTAGCATGAGTAGCGAGAGCAGCCGGAGTAGTAGGAGTACTAGTCGTCGTCGTCGTAGTAGCTGTAGCAGCAGCAGAAATCGTGGCAGTAGCAGTAGCAGTAGCAGTAGCAGCAGTAGCTGTAACCCCAGCCCTAGCCCAAGCCGTAGCCGTAGAAGCAGTATATACAACTCCCCACAGCGCAGTAAGTATGAAGCTCTGGTACGTAGTTGGCCTTATATTTACCTACTAGGGACCTACCTCTAAACCCTAAACCGAAACCCTAAACCCTAAGTTTAAGCCCTAAACCTAAACCCTAAGCCCTAGACCCCAAACTCAAAGCCCGAAACCCGAAGCCGCGCTCGCCTGAAATTCTGCAGATCATGGATCAGCTTGTGCTTTGCCTCCGCCGTCCGGCGTAGGTAATGGATCCTGAGTTTAGGATTTCGAGTTTAAGGCTTAGGATTTTGGGGTTTTTGGACATTGGGGTTTTAGATTTTTTGGGGTTTTAAGACATTGGGGCTTTAGGGGTTTTAGGATTTTGGTGAGTTTTAAGATTCTGGGGTTTAGGTTGGTCTAGGGCCTTGGGATTTGGGTTGCGGAGGGTTCGGGGCCTAGGAGTTAGGGATTTGACTTTGCCTTGCTTTTGCCCGGGCCCTGTTTCAAAAAGGGCTCTGAGGGTTGGCTTTAGGGTTTTCATACAGTTTAGGGGATTTAGGTTTAGGATTTTCAGGGTTTTAGGGTTCATGGTTCGGGGTTTAGGGCTTTAGGGTTTAAGGTTTAGGGTTCGGGGTCTTCTGGTTCAAGAATCCAGGGTTCAGGAATGCCTCTAGATCCGAAAAGCTACGTACGCTTTCAAGGCCTCTTTGTGGGTTGTGATTTTTCATATCTTGTCCCTGAACCCAAACCCTAAACGCTAAACCCCTAAACCCTAAACCCCAAAACCCCCAAAACCCTAAACCATAATGACGCTCAGGTCTTATGGTGGCATTTCTGTTGACAAAAAACGTGGTCTGAACACTTAAGCCAAAGTGGCTGAGCTGCCAAAAACACAAGAATACCTTAATACAGGGGCCTTGCTTGATAATTAGAATAGGCTTTGGGGGGGGGGGGGTATATTATACCAAAATTATAATAAGATACCACCAAAATACCGTTGGTAATTATTTCGGCTTCTATGTTAACCGCCCTAACCCCATCGGCCCTTACTGCGCCCGTAAGGAAGCCGTCAGATACTCACAAGGTCAGCAAAGTACCATACAGCCCCCACCGACCACTGAAAGCACTTAAATTCTGACAATGCGAAAAACATGTGAAGCCAAGAGCTGGAAAAAGATTGCTGTACGTTTGTGTAAACATAAGAAGAGGAGTACACCACCGATTAACATCAGGGTTCATTAAGTTGCAAATAGACCTGATCAAGAAAACAAGGAACACAACTACGCACAGCAACAGGGCCCTAAACCCTAATCCTAAACCCTAAGCCCCCAAACCCTAAACCCTAGTTCTGAACCCTAAACCCTAATCCTGAAC